GAGAGTCAAACGAAGCTATTGCGCTGGAGTGTTAGCATAGCTAGCGAGCGACTGCGACCAACGAGTAATTAAAGTCATAGGGAAGCGATGCTGCACTGACAAGAGAAGGTTAGGAGGACGGGGGAATTTTAATACCGGGAGAAGGTTACACTGACAGGAGAAGGTTAGGAGGACGGGGGGAGTTATAATAACGGGAGAAGGTTACACTGACAGGAGAAGGTTAGGAGGACGGGGGGAGTTATAATAACGGGAGAAGGTTACACTGACAGGAGAAGGTTAGGAGGACGGGGGGAGTTATAATAACGGGAGAAGATTACACTGTCAAGAGAAAGTTACACTGACAGGGGAAGGTTACACTAACAGGGGAAGGTTAGGAGGACGGGGGGAGTTAGAATAACGGGAGAAGGTTACACTGACAGGGGAAGGTTAGGAGGACGGGGGGAGTTATAATACCGGGAGAAGGTTACACTGACAGGAGAAGGTTAGGAGGACGGGGACAGTTCTGGTAACGGAGGTGTTACACTGGCAGCTGAAGGATGAGGTGGCGAGACAGGGTTAAGGAATACGGATGAGAATCAGAATGATGCAGCAGCAGCAGCTAGGACGAGTCTGAAGTCAATCCGCCGCTGGCTACATTACAATTAATCTCGAGCCTGGACAGAATCAGCGTGCACATGTGCAGGGCTGTAGCGGCTGTATCGGCTTGTATTGTAGCTGTGTGTGTGTGTGTGTTCACACATCTGTTGTTCCCCCGCTCTCCGCTCATATAGCAGCCTAGTTGAGTAATACGACGTGGATATATAGCTATATATACCAGCGGAAGCTAGCGACCAGGCCCACGCATGACGGACTACGAGCGGCTCACGGCTCACGGTTCACGGTGACTCACGGCTGCGAGGACCGTCTTTCTCTGTTTCTCTCTCGCTTCTCCCTTAATTTTCTCTCGCGTTTCGCATCTCGCCTCACTCTCTTCACGCGGACTTTAGTTACGTGGCAGTGACCTAGATCTGAATAATTATCGCTGCCGACATTTGTTCTTTTATTTATATTTATGTTTTCTGCGGCAGATGACGTATACACAGCATCTGCTGACGCAGTATACATACATATATTTTGTTACATTTATATGTCTAAATCGAGGGAAGAGCGATAGCGAAAGAAAAGCGAGCGATGAACGATAAAAAAGAACGGGGCTGCAGGAGAAACACCACGCCAACGACAGAGCCCACGTGACAGGACAGTGTGGTAGCTTACTAGCCAGCAGCAGCAAGTAAGTATAGTATAGTATAGCTGTAGAGATCAGGAAGCGCGCGACAGTATGTGCGTGTCATGTTTCCTGCGGGTAAACAATATGAGGAGGGGCCCTATAATGCTGAGCAGCTTCACAAACACGCACGAGCGCGGGAGTGGGGGATAGGTGCGCGTGTGTGTGTGCTCGTGTGTGTAGCGTTGGCGTGTGTGTGTGGGGTGTGGAGTTGGGGGGGGGGGTGCGTGCGTGTGTGCGTGTGCTGCTGTGTGTGTGTGGCGTGATTGTGTGTGTGCGTGCGTGTGTGCGTGATTGTGGGTGTGTGCGTGCGTGCGTGCGTGATTGTGGTCCGTGTGCCTGTGCGCGCCTGTGCGTGTGATGCGGTGTGCGTCGTGTGCGTGTTGCTTCCGACCAGA